CTAGCGTACGCTAGCGTGCCGCTAGCGTACGCCAGCGTGCCGCTGGTGACGCTGGTGAAGCTAGATCGATATGCATCCTCTCTTCGGCACTGCCGCTGGCGTACGCTGGAAGCGCTACGCTACGCTGCGCTACGCTACGCTACGCTGCCGCAAAGTATAAACGCAGCCTTAGGCTGCTAGTATGTCCTCTCAAAATATCGTGCCAAGGACCCTGAGCGAGCGCATGCAACTTCTTCGACCTCTTCGTGATGGTTGCTTACGTTTTCTGGATTCGTTTTACAGTAATGCACTGGAAAGTGGAAATAATGCACGGCAACAATCTCCAGGTGCTGGTTGCACTAACACTCTTCAGCAGTGGGCTGTCTCAGCATATGGCCAGGTTAGCTCTCTGAGTGAAGGCTCCTGGATGAGCTTGTTTTCCGTTGAAATATACCATTTTCACTTCAAATCACCACTTTCAAACCAAATTCACCACTTTTCAAACCAAATTCACCACTCTTCTTAGACCAGGCAGTTCACCAACCAAATCACGCCAGACACCACCGCGAACCCTGCCCCGACGGTCACGCCTACTTGTCAGCGCGGACATAGATTTTCAACACATGACTGACTCCGCCCATTCTTTAAAGTTTGTTGCGAACTTCAAATCTTCATAACTTTTTCAATTTTTAATTTCACATCCACTCTTCACGCGAAGGTACTCGTAGACGCGCATTCATGCACCGGCAATTTAGGCTCCGCCCCTTTGGCCACGCCCACTTGCTTTTGCGGAATTTGATATTTTTTCAAAATTTTTGCATTTTTGGACTGCTCCATGAAGCCCCGCCCACTGTGAGAGGCTCCGCCCACTTTTCAAAAATGGTGCAAATCGGCAGTATAGAGCCTTGGCTTGCATGCTAGGGTCTCGTCCGTCACTCGGAACAAATAAATCAGGCAAAGTTTGTTCCTAATGACCAGCAATACCCTTGCCATGCAAGCCATGGCTCTATACTGCCGATTTGCACCATTTTTGAAAAGTGGGCGGGGCTTCTTCAAAGTGGGCGGGGCTTCATGGAGCAGTCCAAAAAATTTTGGAAAAATATCAAAATTCCGCAAAAGCAAGTGGGCGTAGCCAAAGGGGCGGAGCCTAAATTGCCGGTGCATGAATGCGCGTCTACGAGTACCTTCGTCGTGCGAAGAGTGGATGTGAAATTAAAAATTGAAAAGTTATGAAGATTTGAAGTTCGCAACAAACTTTAAGAATGGGCGGAGTCAGTCATGTGTTGAAATCTATGTCCGCGCTGACAAGTAGGCGTGACCGTCGGGGCAGGGTTCGCGGTGGTGTCTGGCGTGATTTGGTTGGTGAACTGCCTGGTCTAAAAAGAGTGGTGAATTTGGTTTGAAAAGTGGTGAATTTGGTTTGAAAAGTGGTGAATTTGGTTTGAAAAGTGGTGAATTTAAAGTGAAAATGGTATCGATGATCGCGGCCGTCGTTCTGCACATAGTAGTTGACTCGGTCCCAGAAAGCGTCAGCCTTTCGCGTCACCCACTGTGGTCACCCAAGAGTTCTGGAAGTAGAGAGGGGAGAAAGGAGTAGGCATAGACAGGAACCACTGAAACCAGAATTTTGTACGAACTACGTCAAAACGCTGTCGCTTTTCACATAGTTTTTTGCTGTTGCAAGGAAGTCTGACGAATAGACCCATTCATCAAAACGGCACTTGCAGAGAATTGTGTTAGCAGTTACAAGCCTGAGAACCTGCTCACAGAACTGGAGCATACCGTCTCATCATGTCCGACAAGTCATAAGTATTAGGTTGTCCGGAAAGTTCTCAGCGTTTTGTGTTACCATTTTTTTTCCATTTTTTGTACATTCATTGCTGATTAAAAACTCATCCTCCCTTGCGTCTCAGTAGTACATCCTGAAGAGAATTTTC